CACTCCAAAACTTGGCAGACAGGTGATTGGCATACAACTTTTGCTTTTTAGGTAGCTCACTTCGGTTGCACTGCAACGGACCTTGTGCGAATGTTTTCGGCAACACTGAGCGGTAAGGATAGGAGAGCATATTGGGAAGAGCTATTGGAGGATTACTATGGATATGTTAAAAAAGAAATCGGCAATAGAAAAATGCCATATACCATTGAACAGGTAAATAGGAACCCATTAATTAGCTATAATAAGTAGTTGTCCTAGAAATCGCAAAAGATCTCATTTCATAGTTTCAAACACTCCCAGTACAATCTGATAACCTGGCTCTATCTGGATAGTCTTAGGCAAGATTTCCACTTCTTCCAACAACCCATATAGTGAGAGGTTTTTACCTCTTTCTTTTTTCATGAATGATGTTATTTTTCAGTTTTTATTTTGCAAAATATTTTTTACAAGAAATAGTAAGCAGAAGAATTTTCAGCGATTTTCAGAAAACTTAAAATTCAAGGAAGTTCACTTGTGACCGAATATTTGCCTGAAAGTTCGCCTTTTCAGCTTAAAGAGGCATATCGTCAGTTCTTTCCCATGGGTGCATATTTGATTGTGCCAGCGATTGTACCACTGTTCGAAATGGCTTGTGGAGCACACGCAGAGGAGTGGAAAAAAGAGGTACATCATGATTTCTCACTCAAAATGACGCTATAATTGATGAACTCGGACAAAGGGTTCTCTAGAAAGGCATATGTACCTCAAGAGTTTTCTCTACCCAGCTTCTCATAGAAATGGAGCGCTGAAAACATAGAGATCCTAGAAGTAGGCTCCTATTCCATAGGTTTTCAGGTTCTTTATCTAGAATGGGTGAATATTGTCGATGTAAATGATTACATTGTGACATGTTACAGCTTTTTGCCAATTTATGTACAGAATTTTCCATTGTTTACAGATTGTTACGGAGAAATGCGGATGCTTGTTGGACGACATGTGCTTCTACCATGATCGCAACATGAAGATGAAAGAAGTAGGGTATCTTTAGGAGTAGCTGTGTAAAATTTTTTTCAAGTTTTTTTTATCAAAGGTATGAGGGAAACCCATTGTTAATAAATAATTTATTTATGATTGAATTGCTAAAACGATATTATGGAAGAGGAGCTCGGAAAACTTCTGTATCTTCTGATCCTTGCTCTTTGGTAAGATAAGAAGATACTCAAGTGTAGCTCTAACATTAGGTGAAGCTGATCTATAGTCTGGTATTTGAATGAAAAAAGAAAAAATCATTTTCTTGAGCTAACTCCCTTTCTATACTATCAACTTCTACTACTCCATTTATTTTTAACTTTTTGCATTATAATGTCACTTGGCTGTAGTCGACTTTCACTCCGAAGCCTAGTGAAGTTCAAATTAGAAGTATTTAAATCGAATCCGGAATCAATCCTATCATATTTGTGGTAGCAGGGCTATGGTTACTCTACTACAATCCTACTTTCGTGACCATCCTGGCGAGGAGCAGAATTTCTGGGACTTTCTCATGCGATCTTGACAGCCTTTTATGACTAACGGAAAAATTAGGGGCAAGGTTGTTGGTCGCCCGTGTAATTTCCCATACACGTATTACTTTCCCACAGTAATACGCAAAAACTTGTATGTTCCATGGCCACCTTATAAGGGCTCAGAAATTCTGAGGGCCTAAGAATATATTTTGGACCCTGAGCCATCGGCTGTGGAACAGGCCTTGAACTTTAGCTCAAAAAGTTCAGCTTTGCTGACCTTAAACACCTTCAACCTTTGATCCATCGGAGTTTTCCTAGTAAAAGGAGCTAGCTGGTGGAGAAAAAACGCATAGGTATGACTTGCGTAGTGAAAGAATCTCGCATAATTAACGCTATTTGCCGACTCTAGGTGTGGCAAAGTCGAGAGCTGCTTTTCCTCTTCAGCATCTTAAGCCTGAGCGATAAAAGCAGTGGGATGTAAATTGTTCTGGAATTTAGTCATTCTCCCTATCTTTATCGCTAATGGAACGCTAGTTTTCGATATAACCCATTGAAAAGGTTGAAAGCCAAATTGCCAACCTCTCAGTTGACTGATAACGGGCCTTGTTTGCCAAGATAGTGGGACGCTTGGATCAAATAGACTCGCCTGTCCACGCTCACAAACTTCTCCGTTCGTTTTTTATTCATCTATTATTGCCCGGGCTTATCCCATACTTTTTCAGAGTTTCGTGTTCGGTATTGCACGTTTTACATGAAAAAGTGTTGCTGTCAAAGATTTGTCAAGTGGGAGCCGAAATAACTTTTCAACATTTTGTCGTGTCCCCAGTTTAGGAAAATACCTAGTGCCACTGTTTTTTTTTTCGAAGGAAACTCCTATATTGGGACGCAATGTGAAGGGTATGGAATGGATCGAAACTGCTGGCACAGGATCAAAGCAATCGATCTAACTCCAGGCTCTTCCAGATTGACAAGTTGACATCGAAGTTCCGCCCTTACATAGGCATCGTACATACCCGTGAGCAGGTAATACGCGCTCAGAAGCCTAAAGTTTTGAGGGCTCTATTTCGTCTCAGTTACCATTCAATCATTCAAAGATGAAGTACCGTTAAAAAAGCTTATTTCTCTATAAAATAGGTTAGCTGAGTCAACTCTATGTACATTTTGAGCGCATTCTTATATAGGGCTGGTCATTAGATAAACTCGGAGGCGGGACGATGTCCTGGAAAGGCATGCCTCCCTAATTCCAAATGAGCGGAACGACTGTTTCCTGCAATGTTTCCTCGACAAATAGTAGCACTAGGCCATTCACTCACTTACTACATGGCATCTTCTCGAGGAAGGTATCGGCAAAATTGGTTCTCCAGGCGAAACAGGCTCGTAACAGTGCAGCTATGAAAAGAGTACCTCTTATTGTTTATATCTTTGAGTTCAAAGCGAAGTCAAACAAAGTGAACCTCTTACTAATGAGGACATAATTTGTTTTCAACGTTGGTAAATGCTTAGAGTCGCAGTTTGCTAAGAACGTTATCAGGTAGGCGCTGCATTACGGGACGGAACGTTCTTCGGACAAGACTCTCGCACGTAACTACGCTTTCAACACTCCGTAAACATGTGATAAGAGATGAGTACGTGATAAAGATGTCGCGTGGGGATTATTCGTTCATTTCTCATGAGAAACCTCCTTTCTCTGAGAGAAAAACTCTTTACAGTTTATCAAACTTTTTCAAAAGATTTTTTTCCGTTCCTAAAATATTTGTAGCTAACTGATTAACTTCGCCACCTTACTAGTATTTCTGTTTTCATGATGATTTTTTGTATTCTTTCCTTTCTCTCCTTCCTTTGCTCTGCGTGCCGTTCTTGTGTTGGAATTATTGGAATAAATAATAAGCTGTAGTTGCTAATTAATAAGGCTCTCAAGTTCCACACGGGATCTGACCATCGTCTCCTCCGCTCTAGACTCCATTTTTCAGTGCGACAGAGAGAGATGCGAAGTTCACTAGAAACACCTCGCTCCCCTTGCGAGTTTATGAGGAGATTCCGTTAACAACAACATCGATGGACGTTATTATCGGCTCGTCGACTATCTTCATGATTGTGCTAGGAAAGCAGAGAGTCTATAAGTAGCTCAGGAGACATCATTCTTCGCAGGCCCTTGAGCTGATACGACTAGGTCGAATTCGCTCACGAAGTAACTCCCGAACTTGAGAAGATATGCACTGAGGTGATAAAGAAAGATCCGAAAGAGGGAAGAGCAGTTCGGTCGAAAGCGCTGTGAAAGGCAAGGCAGATCGATAGGCCGAGATCTGTTTGAGAGATACGTCTGTTTGCCTTGCTGCCACTCTAGGCAAGACGGACATGCCTTCCCCTCATACCTCCCCTCCAAAATTCGACATGCCATTACGTTGATGAAGAATTGAAAAGCTTATATCCCGATAGGCTCAAACCAGAATACCTAAAGAGCCGCCCACAAATTATCGTCAAAACGTTGGCTAGGCCCTCCGCGCGGTCTTCGGAATGCAAAGTGACCATGTCGTAGAGAATTAACAAGACTGTTTTGCAGTATGTATATGAAGGGAGAAACAGACAATATGGGCAATTATAGTCTATTTCCCTCCTGTCTGAATCTCCAAACTATTTACACTCGTCATCCACAACAGCATCAGCAGAATATTGAATGAAGTACAGCCGTACGAGCCAGCAGGGTTTCGGAAAGGGATCAGCACAATCCATCTTCACACCGTCAGAAGGCGCACTGGAGTATCGCGAGAGTATAGTATATTTCACGTTCATAGATTTCAAGAATGTCTTTGATGCCGTCGAAAGAAATGATAATTGGAGCCCTGGACAACCAGGGTGCCCCTGCTCATTGCATAAGGATGTTTTGTGGGCATCACGACTAGGATTTGACATTTTTAGCAAAGTCTTTGCTTACGTGAAGAGAGTGGCTACTTTCATAGTCCGCCGGCCGGCGCGCCGGCGCACTGACTTAGAGCGAATTAGTTTGTGTGTGAGAAATCCAAGCCCGTTCCATTTCACGGCCAGAACAAGTCAGAACCATGAAATAAGATGCAACAGACGTAAACTTCTTACATACAAAATAATTTGTTTTACGTCAGTCATAGTCCGCTGGCGCGCCGGCCGGCCGGCCGGCGGACTATGAAAACAACCAGTGGTCGGCAGGGCGATAACACTTCGCCATAACACTTTTCTATGCACTCTTGAGAACATCACGAGTCATTTGGAATGGGATGACTGGGATGTTAAGTTCGACAAAATCCATCGTCTCCTTTTACAGACGATATCTGCTTCGAATATCGAGCAGGCGGAACAAACGCCAAACGCATCTGACTGCGCTTTCAGGAAGACCGGCTCGAGACTAAAATCAAAGACGACGATGTCATGAGAGACGGATTTACACCCAATGCTCCTTTCACGCTGAACGGAATGAATATCGCGAAGAAGATGAGCATCTGGTCAGCGTCATTCGGCGCGCTTCAAAAAGGTCACTGCTCAGAATTACCTTATACACACAACAAGCAAATCCATAAGGGAATCTGGAGTTCCAAGCTTTTTCAACGAAGAAATATCAGAGCCGTCGTTGCTTACAAGAAGAAATCGAAGATCACGGAGTCGAACCCGTTATGCGTCAGTTGTGATGGCCAGAGCAAATCATTGTATACGCTATATATGTACGCTTTCGTACGAACCGATGTTCATGGCCAAGTGCGTATTGACGAGGACACCTACGCCGCCGACGACTCTGCTGTCGCATGTTCCAAGGAACAGTTCTTCTCTAGTCTCAAATACGGCGTGCAGCGGCGATGCCTTCTCGTCTCGGTCAGTTCGGTCGTACTTGATTTTCCTAGCTTGCATCATCAGGTCTTCTATACACGCTCCGAAGCAAGCGTCCGTGCGTTGAAAGTAC